CTCAGGAAGTGGCAACTCCACCTGAACTTGGAGAAATCTGAGTTTGGGAGGGATAGTGTCATCTATCTTGGGCATCGGTTGTCTGCTGCAGGCCTAGAGCCTGAGGCAACCAAGGTTGAGGTCATACGTGATTGGCCCCAACCTGTGAATGTGCGTGAACTGCGTTCCTTCTTGGGATTGGCATCTTACTATCGTAAGTTTGTACCTCGTTTTTCTATCATTGCGCGACCCCTGTCTCGACTAACTAGTAAGAATGTGTCCTATGTTTGGAATGATGATTGCACTCAAAGATGCGTTGGTGAGTTACCCGGTGCTACGCATTGCAGATCCTAAGCTAACATTCGTAGTTACTACGGATGCGAGCCAATACGGGATTGGTGCAGTGCTGCAGCAGGATGACGGCGACGGCTTGAGACCGCTTGAGTTCTATAGCAAGCGTATGCCCAGCGAAAAGGTAGCCACGTCCACCTACATGCGCGAGCTCTACGCTTTGCGCATGGCGTTGGATCACTGGAAGCACTATCTTTTGGGGCGCCACTTCAAAGTGTTCTCAGATCACGAGACTTTGAAGTGGATCAAACAGCAGAACACCCTGTCCCCTACTTTGCTTCGCTGGTTTCATGAAATTGACATTTTTGACTTTTGAATTCAAACACAAGAAAGACTGCTACAACCGAGTTGCCGACGCATTGTCTCGTCATCCGGAGCACTTGACATGCCTGGTCAAGTCCTACGACCTCCGCCCCAAGTTGAGGGAGGAACTCGTGGAGCACACCGCCAAGGATACGGAGCTCGGCCCCATCCTTGGGCGGCTGCGGACTGATCCAAGCAGTCAATCTGATTTTCATGAGCACGAGGGTCTGATCTTTCGCCGTTATGAAAAGCACGATCGTTTGTGTGTGCCTAACCATGAACCTCTCCGAACACACTTCTTGGATGTGGCTCATGGGCACARCGGACATTTTRGAATTGCAAAGACGTACGCTAACTTGTTGCGACAGTTTGATTGGCCTGGTATGAAGGGGGCTGTTGAAAAGTTTGTGAATGAATGCCAAACCTGTCAACGGACGAAGCCATACCGACAAAAGCCCATGGGGCTGCTCACTCCTCTTCCCATTCCGGATGGCCCCGGGGAGTCTATCTCCGTCGACTTTACCGATATGGGAAAGGACAGCAASAATGGAAATTCGCAAGTAATGGTGATCGTTGACAGATTCTCGAAGTTTCTCAACATCATTCCCCTACCACCTCACGCCCCCACAGACCTTGTGATTCGCGAGTTCCACCAAAAGTACATTTTGCAGTTCGGACCCCCGAAAACTCTTGTGAGTTACCGGGACCCGCGCTTCATTAGTGCTGAGTGGAAGGACTTCACATCTAAACTGGGAATTCGACTGTGCATGACATCTGGCCGACACCCCGAAGCCAACGGGCTGGCTGAGGAGATCAATCAGATTGTGTTTCAACTTTTGCGCGCCCTAATCATCCCGGATCAGCAAACATGGGATGAAGAGTTGTATTCCGTCAAGGGGTTGTACAACAACTCCATTCATTCCGCTACCGGCATGACGCCTAACAGGCTAC